GTACCAACCACACAGCAAGTTGCAGATATTTTAACTAAGGGCTTGTTGAGACAGCCATTTGAACTTCAAGTTAGCAAGTYGGGCATGATAGATATCTTTGCACCAACTTGAGGGGGAGTGTCGGCAAATTAAGAAAGACAGGATTTGCGACAAATTAAGAAAGATATGATTTGAGATTTGAAAAAATTTAGGAAAGATTAAATTCGAATAAATTTAGGAAAGTCAGATCCAAGGATTAAGGGAAAGATTTAGTCAATCCCTGATTGAGAGAAATTCTAGAAGTTTGTCTCTCCTATCTTTTCTTATTTAAGGTGTATGCTCAATATGTTTTGTATCATCAATAAAGAAAATCTTCTTCTTTTCTCCCTCTATATTTCGCAACATAAAGTTTAATTCCCCAAGACCATTCAAGGTAGTTTAGTCCATCAAAGGGAATTACAGCCATGGGGAACTCATCCATCCCCCCACTCATTCCATTTTGACCTCCTGAAATCCCAGAAGTTGCAGAATTCTCAAAGGACATGATTCAATAACACTTTTCAGTTTCAATACACACCTTAAGATCTCTCCTAATACCCAAAAAGGTACAAAAAACACACTAGAGATGCAGTCCACATGCACACACTCTGGTCTGGATACAATCTGAACACAGACCAGCTCCAATTCTCTTTAAAAAAATATCAGGTTGATTTCAGCACTGCACAAGTTTAACAGTCCCAATCCACCAATTTTCCAAATCACCTAAACACAACTACTAGGAGAGATCACAAAGCAATGAAGTCACACCAAAACTTGGTAAAAAAGGTCATTCGTGACCTACAAGTAACCCATCACACGATCCACAGAAATGAGGTCTGAACCTCACAATTCCTCTGACTGCATTCAGCAGTCTTGTTTCATAGGGTTTTTCTTGGTACACGACCAAGTGAAAGGAAAAAAAAGGTAAAGCAAACTTGTACCAGTCATAGGTCAACTTCTCTGATCTCAGTTGAAGAAGACAGCAAGATAAAGAAGAAAGAAATAGTTCGATCTGCTCTCGGACCCAGTAGAACCGCTCTGATACCATATTAGCAGAAGAAAAGAGAAGAAATAAGGAAAAAGAAGAGAAGAGAGAGAGAACATAAAGGTTTTGAGAGTTCTAATCTGTCTGGCAGCACCAGCTTATGTTATTATATATAGGGCGACCATAAATAAAAGGGAAAAGACCCTTATACCCTGCTGTAGTCAAAGTACATAAACAAAGGAAAAAAAGCTATTTTAAGCAGACCAAACAGGCCCTAACTAAGCAGAATACGTTCATAAATATAAAGAAAAACATTCCAACAACCACAAAACAAGAATAAAATCCTGTACCCCTGCAATTTGTTTTTGCAAAATTAAAATAAATGATTCTTGCTCAACTAATCCATTGCTTTCTCTAAGGTTTTCGCTCACTCAAACACTAGTTCATTATCTTTCAAGCAATTAATATTTCGGGCATTGCTTTCAAGTTGTGAAAGGTGGCACAGCAGAGCTGCAATGGAGTTTGAACCATAAAAGAAAGAGAGGAGGAGGAGAGAAGAGAGGATAAGAGACAAAAGTGTCGATCTGTTTTAGAGAAGGATTAGACTTCATAATCCTCTCTTAGCAGTCGGCCCACCTTTTATATTAATAATAAGAGATGCCAAATTACATACATGCCCCTGTTTATGAAAAATAGTGGACAGGAGTGTCCAAAACATAAAATAAAAAAGACATCTCTGTCCTGCCGCACAATACACCCAGAAAGACTATTCTTTTAATACAAGTATTCAAGACAATTAATACATAATATTAAGATGCAACCTCTATGTTACTTAGTGTTTTAAAAGGCGTGGGAGGCATACTCCTGGAGGCGCAACTATAGGCGAGGCGCTCCCAAAACACCCTGAGGTGGCATACACCTCAGGTGCAAGAGGCGTACGCCTCATGCGCTTTTTTCATGAGGCGTGCTAGAGGCATACGCCTCATGCACCTCATGCACATCTTATATAAAAAGATAGAAAAAAAAAAGAAAGGAAAGGAAAGGAGGAGAAAGGGAAGGGAAAAAAAAGAAAGAGAAAAAAATGAAAGGAAAGGGAAGGGAAGAAAAGATAAGGGGAAAGAAAGTGGTTTGTCCCCCTTTCAACTAATGTTATGCATCTTTATTTTTCTTAGTATAAAAGATTTTTATTAAAAATAAAGAAAAAATGAGATCCCCCCTTCCTCTTCATCCTCCTCCCTCCCCTTCCTCCTTCCTCCTAACCCCCCTCCTCTTAAGGAGGCGCCTTCTTGTGTTTGGGAGGCTTATGCCTCTTGTGTTCTGAACTACGCCTCACACCTCTAGGTAGTGGAATGCCTCGCGTCAATCCTCCGTGTTTTAAAACATTGACTTAGATATGGCAAGGATGTAGCTGGACATGGTATCAGATCAGTAAATTAAACTAAAAGTTGAAGTATTCAACATAATATAGCACCTTGTACAGTGTTTTAAAAACTGACCTGGAGGCTGACCTGTTTTTTTCCTCTGGGTGGTGGGTCAGTAGTTCAACCATCCAGGTCAAATAGGTCAACCTTTGACATCATAAATAAATAATAAAAAATAGTAAAATATAAGATATATATAAATTATACATGCAGAAAATACTACATTCATGGATGTCCCATAAACATGGACATAGGTGTTATTAAAATTATTTAAACTCATATATTGTAACCTACCACTTGCAGCCCGGGTCATCCAAGTCGATGGTTCAACCGTCTAGGTCACCAGGCCTCTGAGCAAGTCTATGGGTTTTTTACTAAAGGCGGTTAGGGGTTAACCCAATCCAATATCATGACCGGGTGGTGGGTCAAAGGTTATAGCTGGCCAGGTCAATGACAAGTTGAAAACAGTGCCCTTGTATAAGCATCCAAGTATAGGGATGGCAACTTTCCCCATCCCCGACAGGTACCCAACTTCCTTGACCCGATGGGGTCAGGGATGGGGATTGCTTTGGCGGGACGGGGATGGGGACGGAGAATGAGGTCGGGGTTGGGGTTGGGGATGGAGAATGAGGTCCCTACCCCGCCCCGATCCTGATTATATATTAAATATATTATATATGATATTATTTATATATCAAAATATATTTATAATATTATTTATATGTTAAAATTTTTATTTATTAAGTAAATTTATTTTTCCAAAAATATTGTTAACTACAAAATTTTGGGGATTCAAGTCCCTGTGGGGAACCCATCCCCATCAAGGATTGGTGATGGAGGACAACTTTTATACCCGACGGGGATCGGGGCCGGGGACAAGGATTTATTCCAAAATCAAGGTCGAGGACGGGGAATATGATACCCACCCCATTGCCATTCCTATCCAGGTATCATATGTAGTTTTTCAACATCTCAATGTTAGCATGATCTTCCCAAGATTGTTGCATAAGACCTTGATTAGTTGGTATGCTAGAGGTATATAGAAAAGATTTGCCTAGAAGTCCATCCCTTTATCGGTTATTTCAATGGCGTGGAAGGAACTAAGATGATTCTTCATAAAATAATTGCTCAAGATCATGAAACCCAAAGGAGGGCAATTGCTAGGGTGTATTCTTGTTTATCAGCGCAGAATCTCTTCACGGATGTTCCTCAGTCCTCTTTCTGTTCTGTGTATACTATTTGTACTCAAATATGATCTTTTATTTACGGTTGATACTTTTATACAGTCACTCACTATATATGTGTTGATCAATACCTTTTGTATACCTCTTTAGTGCACTTGATGTTTTATTTGAATGAAATACCTTACCTTTCTTCAAAAAAATAAGACTAGTTTTTCAGCAGCATTTTAACATTTTATAATGAAAAGGAAAATAAAATACAAGCTATGGTAACCAAGCATATATAAAGTGAACCATGTATTAAACGGTACTCAATTTTTGTGATTGTTAACTGATTAAAGTTTTACTGATAATAAAAACCATACAGTATATATTTGCAGATGGTACAATCTTTCTTATGCTTCACAGACAAAAATGGAGCTATCTCACTCTTGCTCCCACACAGTTCCTAATAGAGCCCCAAGGCAGTAGCTGATTCAGATTTGAGAATGACTACTATACTGGCCCCAAATGAACGATTGTCTACTAACTCCCTCACAGGCTACGAAATTGACAAACAGCAAAAGAATTAGCAGACTGAGCATTCCATGAGAGTTCTGCTTCTAGAATGAGCCAAGTGCCTTGCTTCTCTGGTCTGATGTCTTAGTTGCCAAGGTCCTACCATTTCTCCTTTCAGCCAGGAGATGATGATTTATGAGTCCCCCTCAATAAGCAAATTATGAAAATCCGATATCACTACCAGTCTCAGCCCCTGAAGCATAGCTCTTAATCAAATACACTAATAGCATTTCCCCTGCAAGATTTCTAAAAACATCACTAATACATGAATCACCTGGATTTCCAAGGTTGCATCAATCAACATTCATCTTTACTGTCTTGTGGGGCAGGAGTCCCAAGGTATATTGCTTCTATTTCTACCAGTAGAAGTCATTGGCTCATTGACACCACTGGCCACCCTCCAAGGATGTCATCTGTAGAAAAACATGAGAACTCTTCCTTTGTCTGCACCCAGTGAGTAACTCTGATTTTAATCAAGCCTATTATAGATTCTCAAGACTGATATATGTTTTAAATGAACTTTTGAATTCAGTTATTCCCAGGTTGTCCATAATTATGGCAGCTCATGAACAAATTCTATAACATTTTGCCTCTTTTCCTTCTTATTAAATAGTATTCAATTCAAAACTATGGTTGCAGTAAGAGGCCAAGTGGCCAACCTTCAGCAGCATATTAACATTTTATGATCAAAATGAAAATAAAACACAAGCTATAGTAATGCAAGCATATATTGAGCAAATGATGCATTAAGTAGCATTAAAACTAAATTTGCTGTAAGATTTCAAGTTTTCAACCTTCTTGACCTCAATAAATAGAACAAAGTAGTTTGGTACTTACCCAAGCAGATAATAAACAGAATGCCACTGCAGCAAGCTGATAAAGTTCATTTGTCTGCAGTTCACATAAGAATATCAACTTAAAGAAATACTTGCAGAACTAGTCATGGCTTGCAAAATCCAGAAATAGGAAACTACTTGTACATAAAATTGAGCAACATTTGTACTTGTATATGTTACTTTTCAGAGCTTTTATTATCCTATTAAATAAAACCAACTTTGTGAAAGATAACAGGGAAGGAATATGGCAACACCGACATATATTGAGGGGCAAAATACCTAACAAGGAAACTGCTTATCAATTACAGATGGGTGCATAGATCAGCAAACAGCTTTGCTGACTCCTTAGCAAAGAATGGTAAACAGGGAAGAATTGTTTTGGGGGACAACCACCTAATGGTACTGTAAAAGTATGCAAAGGGGTCAGGTGGTAGCTACCAGCCTAACTCAAAGGATTGTCTTTATTGTACATAACATTCTTTATTTCCACCATTAATAAAGGTTACAAGTTACCTACCTGTCTATCTATCTATCTATCTATCTATGTATCCATCTTTCTCTCTCTCTCTCTCTCTCTCTCTCTCTCTCTTACAGCTTCATGGAAAGGATCCTACTTTTATTACTTTCTTGAATATATCATAAAAGAAACAAAAGAAATCCACACTCAATCACCGTTGAGAACTCACTTGAGAAGACAACCGTATCATCAGTTTCAAGAAGCGTGGAACAAATGACCAAGACAAAACAGTTGCAGCAGTAAGGAATATTGACAGAACCAGCAATCTGCATATTGTGATCATGAAAATAAAAACAAAGAATTAACAATTCCAGGAAAGAGAATCAATAAGAACATCCATATAAGGTCATTTGCTAACAAAAACACAAAACCCATGGTATCACCACAGAAAAATAAAGTATTTTGCATGATAATTTGTCATAATTTATAGAAATTTTAAATTTAGTGTCAATTTATATAGGCATAAAAAGTTACTGATCATGAAAAAATGTCAACAGGCATATAATATAAATGGCATTAACAAATTGAAGAAACATAATTATTAGGGCAGTAATACATCCAATAAGTAATGCCAAGCATGTAATACATGGAAATGAACTCACAGTTTTGACATTGAAATTATTCCTTGTAGAAGACCACCATTTCCACCCAAAACCGGCAGCAGAGCAAATAATAAGCCAACAGCACAGTCCTGGAACAACCCACAGTTAAACAAATGTAGATATAACTTGATCAAATACAAATATGTAGAGTGCAAAACCTTGTATTTTGTATTATCTTGTATGTATTTGTAATTTACATATTTGTATTTGTACTCTTTCCAAACTGAGCCTAAAGGAAGCTTCTTATGGGGTTTCACATAATTTAGCTCTACAAAGGCTGTAGGGAGAAGCAGAAATAGGCTGGCTTTTATGCAAAGAAGTGAATACAAAGTATAGTTACCATACAGGAATATACTTTGTACATTCTCTCAGGATATCAATAAAGCCATTGTCAATCACTCATCACAGAAATACAGTAAAAGAAATTACTCTCTGGGGGAAAAATTCAAAGTACTACCTGAAAAATAAGTGTCCCAATTGTGACTTGACCATGAAGAGCACTACTACTATTTCTTTCCACTAAAAACTTTACAACCTAGTCACAAGAAAAGATGTAGCATTAAATTGATAAAAGTCCAAAAAAGTGAGAAAAAGAGTTTTAATAAACAGGTAGAGAAGAATTACCACTGCAGTTGATGACATTGATAAAAAGGAACCAACAAATATGCCTTCTGACCACTTTGCACCACATAACTTCACCAGATTTAGAGATAAATGTCAAATTAAGCATATACTGAAATACATCAAGAAATCAGACAACCAATGCATCCTATTAAAATAAAATATGCATTCTAAGAATCATACCACAGCAGTTATGCCACATAAACACATAAGGATAATAATTTGAAGCACCCCTCCAAGAATAGCAACAGGCCCAACAACTTTTAACTGAAATGCAAACTTGAGTAAGATAACTTATACGGAGAAAGGAGATAGGTAGGAAGTATAATGATTATAAAAGGAAAAAAAAGAACAAACTTCAGTCATTCATTACATTTCTTTAGCTAGACATAGCATACCTTTGCCAAAGAAAACTCAAGGCCCAAAGCAAAAAGAAGAAAGACAACACCAAACTGTGCAAAAGTCTCAACCTGAAAAAAGAATCATATTAAGATATTGAAAAATAACCGCGCCATGCACTCAAACCAGATAATGACCCCAGCAAAGTGGGGCATCAAATAACAAATTATTTTTCTTAATAGCCATCTAATAACAAACTAGCAGCAGTACCAATTAGGAATGATCAATGTTCTACATACAACAAAATAAAGGAGAACATGCCTACAAAACTAGCAACACAGGTTCCAGAGTATCAAAGGCTTTGAAGTATAGATAAATAAGGCACAAATAAATGGCCCCAACTTTCTCAAATCACATCAGATTTACAAGATCTTGGTCTAGGTTACTCAAGAACCATTGGAACAACACTAAAATAGCCTAAAATCAAACAAAATGGATAAGTTTTGACTTCTAAAATAGCCTAAATAAAAGCAATGTCACTGCACATTCAACTTTTCCAAATTTAAAAAACTCTATAAAAAAAGGTCTTTAACTATTACAGCTCTTTATGATGACTAAGCCTAATAAATTAAAAAACATTTTGAAAAAACAAAAAGAAAAAAAAAACAAAATACAAAGCACCCAAAAGTGCAACATTACTATTTGTGCAAGAATATGAAGAAACCTGATTTCTTCTTTCATGATTTCTTACCTTACCTTCAAGTCATGAAACCATGTATTGATCTCTTAATTAAAGAATGGTGTATATCTGTACATCCCTCATAGGACTAGAATCTGCTACCTCACCCCTAAATGTTGTTTTTGATTTTCTATTAACTTCCCCTTGGGAAATCACCCCCAATAAAATTGATTTCTGATCATTCCTTGCCTTGCCAACATACCATATTGTTGGCTCGTCTCTATATCCATTGAAAAGTCATTCCTACTTCCCTACTATTTGTGATGTAATTGGGGCTACACTAGTAATATATATACGGCTGTACCAGGATTTTTGGGAAATTTTAAAAGAAGATTTAATGGCTGTCTTTGAGCAATTCCATCAAAAGGGGAAATTTTCACTAGAGGCAAATGCCACCTTCATGGCCCTAGTTCCAAAGAAGAAAGAGCCTAAAACTCCTAGGGACTATAAACCTATAAGCCTTGTGGGAAGCCTTTACAAGATCATTGAAAAAGTCCTGGCAAATAGGCTAAAGTCTATTCTACCCTTGGTGATATCCCAAATTCAAGGAGCTTTTGTAGAAGGGAGGAAAATAGTAGACCACATCTTTGTGGCAAATGAGTGTGTAGCAGTAAAGAAAAGGCAAGGAGGGAAAGGTCTAATCTGCAAGTTGGATTTGGAAAAGCCAATGATATGGTTGATTGGTCCTTCCTCTTATGCTTATTGGAGAAAATTGGGCTCAGAGCAAGGTGCAGGAAGTGGATTTTTGGTTGTGTGAAATCAGCGCACTTCTCAATTCTGCTAAACGGAGTGGCTAAAGACTTCTTTCTCCCGCTAAAAGAGGATCAAGGCAAGGAGGCCCTCTCTCCCCTTTCTTGTTTACCTTGGTGGCAAAGGTCCTGAGTCGACAAATCTTTAAGGCTGATAAAGAATGTCTGTTTAGAGGTTGGAGAATTGCTCAGGATAACGTTGTAGTGACTCACTTGCAGTTTGCAGATGACATAATTATCTTTTATGAAGATTGTGAAGAACCCACATTGAGGAACTTGAAAGCTTTAGTAGATGAATTCCAACGGGTCTCAATTGGAGTAAGAGTTGTGTGGTAGGAATCAACTTGGAAAAGCAGGTTGTACAGTCAATAGATATTTTGGGTTGTGTAGTGAACTCTTGGCCCCTAGAATATCTTGGTATGCCATTGGGAGGAAATCCGAAGTATGAGAACTTTTGGAAACCAATTGTAGAAAGATTCACCAAGAAACTAACCATGTGGAAGAGAAGTTGCATTTCAATGAGGGGTAGAATCACTTTGATTAGGTCCGCCCTAGTAAACTTGCCAACCTACTTACTTTCCACCTTTAGGATCCCAACAAAAGTAGCTAGGAAGCTGGAGAAGTTAATGAGGGATTTTTGTGGGAACCAAAAAAGGAAAAAAAAAAAAGACCATATGGTAAAATGGGAACAGGTTTGTAAACCCAAGGAGCAAGGTGGGTTAGGCTTTGGAAATGTGTTGAAAAGAAATACAGCTCTTCTAGGCAAATGGTTGTGCAGGTTTCCTCAAGAGAAAGAAAGACTTTGGCACAGGGTCATTGTAAGCATTCATGGTGTACCAAATAATGGTTGGGATGCAAAACTAGCTTCAAATACCAATTCAAGCTCCCCCTGGAACAACCGTTGAGGTATTGCCCACGTTCCTTGATTTCATTCGTCTAGATGTTGGGAATGGGAATAAAGTAGACCTGGCAAAAAGTTGACCCAAGCCACAAACCCGACCCAAACCAACCCAAAAAATAGGGTTAATGTCTCTTATTTAGCTACCTGAATTTGAGAGTGACCGGACCCGACCCAACCTGGAAAAAACTGGGTTGGGTTGGGTTGGGTCATGTGTCAACCCGATGACCCGATTGTCAAGTCTAATTGGGACTACTTATGCATTGTTAGAAGTGTCCAGTCTTTAATTTTTACTATTTAGTCTTTACTCTTTATTGTTTACTCTTTGAATTGTTAAAATGTTCAAGTTTTTTATTTTACATTTGGAATTTTAAGGTTAATTCCTTTAATTTTGGCATTTTTCATGTATTTTTTCTTTATTTTTTTAAATTTCAATTATTTTTTGGGATGACCCCATATGACCCATGGGTCAACCCTAACCCGAACATTTAGGGTTAGGGTCTAGCATTTGACAACCTAACCCGAAATTCAACTCGGCCTAAAATCAACCCGAAGTGTCTTGACCCAACCCAAACCTGACCCACCCAACCCAATTACCAGGTCTAGAATAAAGTGTTATTTTGGGAAGAACTTTGGCTTGGGGATCAGCCTCTTTGCTTTTCTCGAACCTCTACGCCATGTCAAACCTTATGGTTGAACCTGTTGCCAGGTTTGGCTTGTCCTTAAAAAGTGGGGAAAATTGGGATCTTGGATTCAGGAGAGGTGTGAGAGACTGTAAGTACAATTCCATCCTTCATCTACTTTCATTTTTCGAAAAGGTCTACTTGGATCAACTTGCCCCAAATAAAAGAAACTAGTTTCCAACCCTTGATGGTCTGTTTACCTGTGCTTCATTTCTTAACCAACTTACCCGTTCTAACTCCGAGGGAGTGACTTTTCATGTGAAAGAAATTGGGCGCAAACCAATCCCTCCTAAAGTTCAAGCTCTTTGTTGGGAAGTGTTTTTGGGGAACACCTGTGATGTGCTATAGAAAAGAAGGCTAAATAAGTGCCTCTCTCCTCATGTGTGCATCCTATGTAAGGCTTGTGGTGAAACCCTTCCTCACTTACTCGTATCCTGCTCCTTTGTTTATTATATTTGGGAATACTTCTGCTCTCTCTTTGGTTGCAAATGGGCTCCACCATAGGACGTAGTGAACTTGTTCAGCTCAAATTTCCTAAGGCAGCAAAAAAATAGGGGAAGATGTATGTGGAAGGTGGTCAGGGGAGCTGTGGTAATGGTCCATATGCAAAGAAAGAAACCAAAGGATATTCAATGAGAAATTCAAGTCAAGGGAGGAAGTGATTGAAATCATAAAGACCAAAACCGCACGTTGGGTTAAAACATTGGACCTCTTTAGAAATATATCTATAGACAATATACTAAGGAATTGGAGGGAAGTGGCACAATCAGAAATGCATAGAGAAAGGGTAAGAATGAGTTGGAAACCACCGGGACCAAATTGGCTAAAACTAAACTTTGATGGCAGCTCCTTTGGCAATCCAGGGAGGGTTGGGATAGGGGAGTTATTCGGAATCATCAAGGAGAAGTTGTGGCACTCTTCTATGGACCAATTGGCTTTGAAGACTCAATTCAGACTGAAACTCAGGCTCTCCTACAAGGTCTGAAACTGGCTGAGCAACTGGGAGTAAAAGAGCTGGACATTGAAGGGGATTCACTATTAGTTATTTAGTTATAAACTGGGCTAAACAAATTGACTTAGCACCTTGGAATCTTAGGTTCATCTTCAGAAAAACTGGCTCATTAGCAAGAAAATTCAATTCCAGTTTCGAGTGGGTCAAAAGGGAAGCAAATAGTATGGCAGATGCTTTAGAAAAACAGGGAGATGATAGACCCAATTTATTTTGGGAATGTTTGTAATATGTTGTAACTGGATCACGAAAAGCTAACTTGCATTGTATTCTAAAAGTCACTTTAATTAATAAAAGGTTTCTGTTTTACTACAGCAGGGGTAGTAGGGTTATTTTATTCTATATCCTCAGTTTTTTCCTCTTCTCTCTAATCTTTAACTGTTAAACTCTAATCACCATTCCTACCAATCTTTTCACCTCCCATATCACACGCCTATAAACCCAATTACCCATATTATTTTCCTTGAAGCAGACTACTACAACCCTCAAGTCTCCTTCAGCTCTTTTATTACTGATCAGCAACTTTCAGTTTTATGTTTTTGTAGTTTAGAGATTTCCCAAATCTTAGACCATGGCAATACACAGAAGGAAAATGAGTTGGGGGTAGAAAAACTTGAAATTGAGGGAGAATCAAAGACTGTAGTTAGTTGGTTGTTGAAGCATGAGAAGGCTCTATGGACTTACAAAAATTAGATCAAAAAAAAAGTTCGTGTAGTACAACAGAAATGCAGTTGAAGATTAATTGGGTTCAAAGGTCAGCTAACAGTTTGGTGGATAACTAGCAAAGCAAGGAGTAGAAAGATCTTCTCTGTGCTTGGCTACATTGTAAAATGGAGGATATTGTGAACCATGTACTGTGCTGTATAGCTTCTCTTCCTGTTATATATTCCTAATTCTTGATCTTTAATGAAATCATTATGTTATCAACCAAAAAAAAAAAAAAATCTGCCTTAATGGAGCTGGCATGCATTCTTTAGATGGAGTTCTATTCCCAAAATCTTGGGATAAAGGAACTCAGCTAAGATGTTTCTGGTTAGTTTGTATTTCTTTTTCTGTAAATATGAATGCAAACTCTTTCTTTCTTTGATAAATGACTTTAAATTTTATTAAGGCTTAAAAGTATAAACATTACAAGCATCCCTTAGAGTGGCACGAGATGCTACCTCTCTGTAAAAAACAAAAACATTACAAATGAGCCCAAAACAAACAAGACCTAACCACCCCTTTCTTGGCCAGAGTATCCACTAAGCCATTTGCTGATCTCCTCACCCATTGTATCCTTAAGTTCATGTTCTTGGTGATCCTTTTGAATTTTTTCATCTCACCCCTGTAGCACCATATTACAGACCCTGGATCTTTTAGCCAACGCACCACCAATTTTGAGTCCCCTTCAATCATCACATTAGCTATATTCAATTCATTAGCAATCTGTACTCCTTGTAAAGCCGCAAGCAGTTCTGCTTTAAGAGAATCCCCCAACCCCACAGGGCCAGAAAACAAGGCTATAAGTTTACCTTCCATATCTCGCAAAACCCCTCCTATACCATCAGGTCCTGGATTACCCCTCCTACTCCCATCAAAACTCAACTTCACATAGCCTTCAGGTGGAGGTACCCATTCAACACTTGCTCTTTCCTTTCCCAGTTTCTCCAAATATGAATGCAATCTCTATTAATAGGAGAAACCATAGTTTGTATTAATAAGAGAAACTCCTGTAGAAAGATAATTTTAGCACCACAATACTTCCCATCCCCTTTTGGTTGCATTGCATCAAGAAACTTTGAATGTCTGATAATATGTAAGAAAATCTTGTGGCACCAAATTCATAATTTTGGAATCTAATATAATCTTCAAGAGCTCAATAAAAGCTTGCAGTAGGGGTGGTTTCTATTGATTTTCCTCTTGTTTCAATGTATTTATTCCTTCTAGTCATTCTTAAAATTGCATTGAGGTGCAAAAAGAAAGAAAGATAAACCACCAAAGCTTTTTCTTTCCATTATTGTAAAGCAAACTATAGGAAACGTGTGTATCCATGTAGAATTTGAAAGGGAAATACCATGCAGTTGTCAGTATGTTTTATAAGCCTATAAAACTTCTCCCCTCCCTATTTATTCTAGGAAAATTTTGTACACTTACAATTCAATAACTCTATTTAAATTAAGTCTCTGTGATTATTGTCTTTTTTTTTTTTGATGAATAATAATAAGTTTATTGATTCAGAAGCAAATTAGAGTGAGTTCATACATCATCCCAACGAGAGGCGCGAGCT